TGACCACCCACGCACAGTGACCCACGCCCGCGATATTTGATGAACTTTAGACTTGGCTAATGCTTTCGTTTCCCCGGGTGTAAATAGCCGGGGGGAATTAGTACCCTCGCACGGCGCTTCGCGCCGCCGGCTCGGGGATAAAAAGTTGTTATATGAGCTCTGATGTATCATTGATTAATTTATATAAATGTTGGGCTTTAAAGAAAGTTGGCTCAGTGATAGATTTATGTTTATTTTGCTATTGATTGTGTTATTTGAAAGTATGAGTGTACACTTCTCAGGGAAGGTGGATAAAACACAATTCTACGCTTTATCAAATTTAAAACGAAAGATCGTGAACTTGGAACATCACGGAAAAGTTTATAGGAGAAGTTTAGAAGAAAGATTGGTGCCAAAAGGACTTAGCTAGATTGAAGAAGAAAGCATGTCTAGGTGGGTTATCGAATGAATTTAATACAGAATGGCAGGGAATTTTGAACAATGCTGAGATGCGCTTGGTTTATTTGTTGAATAGGGAAGTGGCAAAAAGTAAAATGGTTTGGCGTACACAGTTTGAAGCAGAATGGCGAAAGTTCGGTGGATTTTATGGAAGAAATTAATCAATATATCGAGCAGGAAAGTCGATGTTGGGAGCGAAGTTTGACAAGGAGACTAGAAGGTAAATGGCGAATCTTGAAAGAAACTCAAGGGAGACCGAGGTTAACGAAACAGACATTGGAAAATCTTGGGGGAATTAATTATTAGAGAAGTAGAGGTATTTAATGAAGATGGAGAGAGTCAATTAAGTCAAGGTAGAAGAGAGAACGGTTCAGAAGATGCTGAGGACATACAAAGCGTGCAAAATCAGATGCTAGAATTGGCGATCGAGGATGAATTGCTGGACTGTCATGAAGCGGAACCAAGCAGGGTGAGATCAGATATAAATCAAGTTTTTGTTAGTAAAAATGTAGTTAATTTGTCAACTAGAAATCTATCGCATGCGGAAGTTAAGGTGCTGTCAAAAGGACTTAATTTTTGGCCCACAGCAAAAGAGATTGATAAATATAAACTAGCGCAAGATTTAGCTGAATTCTCGAGGAAAATAAAATGTAGAGCATACTTTAAAGATAAACCCTTAAGTGAAATTGATGTAGAGGGATTAAGTAAGTTTAGAGAAAAGTCTGCATGGTAATTCTCGAGGAAAATAAAATGTGGAGCATACTTTAAAGATAAACCCTTAAGTGTAATTGATGTAGCGGGATTAAGTAAGTTTAGAGAAAAGTCTACATGGTACCCGAGTAAAGTGGACCCAGCATTAGAAACATTTTTGAATGCCTTGCAAGATAAGGTATTGGCTATTAAGGAAAGGGGTCATAATTTTAGTAACTTGAGTGCGGAAGAGCGAGAAGCTTTTAAGAAATCAAAAGGGATATAGGGATATAGTAATAAAGGGGCTGATAAGGGGTCTGCGGTAGTGGTTTGGGGATTAGAGGATTATTGTAAGGAAGCTAATAGACAATTGGCTGATGTTTTAGTTTACGAAAATGTATCGGAAGAAGGAAATCCACTTGCAAAGGTTTCAGAAATAGTTCGGAATAAATTAGAGAATTTGAAAGGAAAGGGGGTTATTAGCGAAAAGAATTTTAATTATCTAAGGGGTAAGAATAATCAATTGGGCAGATTCTATTTACTTCCAAAAATTCACAAACGGCCAGTTGATGTCTGAGGTCGTCCAGTTATATCTAACTGTGGGACACCGACGGAGGGTTAGCCGGAATTAGTGGATCATTGTTTATAACCTATTGTTAAGAGTCTGCCCAATGTTATAAGGGATACCACGGATTTTTTGAAAAAACTGCAGGATTTGGGTGATATTCCAGAGGGAGCGATCTTGTGCACAATGGATGCTGTGGGACTGTACCCGCATATTCCTCATTTGGATGGTCTGTCTAGTATGAGAAGAAGTAATGAGGATTTCAGAAAAAAATGTGGTATGGATAAAGGGAGGGACTTTCTGTAGATGATTTGATTGATTTAGCCAAAATTATATTACATAACAATTATTTTGAATTCAGTGAAAAAGTGTATAAACAAAAGTTAGGGACA